GGCATACCCTTAAATCCTTGATTAAGGGGGCATAAAAATGACTTTAACTTGAAATTTATCTTAAATTAAAAATGAAAACTTCCGAGAGCTTATCAAGTGACCTTGAACTTATGACAATTCAACCATTAAGGGCCAATTAAACAGATACAATCTAACATGGAGAGGGCGACCAAACAGCTCCTGGAACACAGGATAAAGAGCTCACAGGGGACAGGTAAAGCCCGGTTTACACGTTCTGCTTTTGCAGCTGCATTTTTGGTCTGCATTTTACTCTGCAGCACAGAGATAAATGCTTACACTTTAAAGCCATATAGTTTCATATCAGAATGGTCAGTTACGTCTGCTTTGCAGACTGAAATAGGGCAAGTTCTATTCTGTCTGCTTGCATGCCTGCAGTGCAAAACCCCTGTTTACACGCTCTTCTTTTGCAGCTCTGCTTCAAAGCAGCTGCAAAAGCAGAGCGTGTAAACCGGGCTTAAGGCAGCACAATAAATGACATTACCTCCCTGCATGAGTGAGGGGCAGAGTAACAGAGTGATGCACATCACTATTGATGTCCCATTTAACGCCTGTCAAACAGGCAGACTATAGTAATTAGTCTATGATCATCAATGTCATTCTTAATCACACAACATGCTTGATTTCATTAGTGAACTGTACTGAAATATTCCCATCAAGGACACTTCTCTTTTTACTTTTGAAGAACAAGACAGCTTTTACCTCATAACAGAGTATGATTTACAAGTACTTTTTAAAAAAAATTAAAAAAAACAATTTTAATATCTAAAATTATAATACCTGTATTTAAGATATTTAAGCAACAAATTATATATTCCAGATGTATTAAAATTTTATCTTTCCTGTTCTTTCACATAGAATACCAATCAAAAATTTATTTAAAATTAAAATACATTATTAAAGATAACTATGCGACAAATTATATATTCCAGGTTTATCCCAATTTTATCCTTCCTGTTCTTTTCACATTAAATACCAATCAAAATTATTTGTCATAAATGAAAAGGAACAAACATTGAGTTTGTCTATTTGTTTATTGGTCATGAAGTTAACAGCAGTTCAAGAGGCCAATCTCTAAATGTGAGAAGCATTGTTCATACAGACACCTGAATGCAATTTTATCCACTCCTTAAACACTTGTACCCAAATCAGCAGTCAATAATCCATTATCAAAGACACCAAGAGTTCTGCAAGAGAGATTGTGCATCGCTAAAATCATGCATAATGGTGGGACCCTTGGTCAGAGTGGCGACAATGGAGAAAAGCAGACAGACACTGTATCATAAATCTCTTAGACTTCAGTGCCAACAAACATCCATCGTTTTCCAAAAAGTTAGACGGATGATGGATAGAAATCTTAAACAGGAGTCTTCATCCTCCATCATAAAACCCTAGGTTTATTGTGGGAATGGTGACAATTTATTCACCAGATATTGCTTTCAGTGATATTTCCCCCCTCCAATTTGAATAAAGTTAGGCTTCTAATGTATATTTGGTGGAAAGCAAGATATCAAATTCTGATAATGAGAAGAAAATGGCTCTTCATAAAAATAATCCATCTCTTTCTTCCCTGTAAACCATTAAATAATATTGTGGTCTGCTACCCAGTCTTTTACCTTCTTAACAAAACTATCATATAAGGAATGGATATATAGATACAGCAAGGAAATTCTGACCAGAACTTTTAAATATGAAGAATGGCCGAGGAATGTATACAGCAAGGAAGAAATAAAGAAACAATCCTAAATGTTTCCTTTTACAGAAATTCAAGAGCTATGGATTTGAGAAATATATTTCACCATATCTAGTTTAACTTCAGAATCTCAAATACCAACATCTAGAATACAATAATGAGATAAAATGATTCAAAAGCCCCAACCACTCTCAAGTCTGAGTCAATTCTTAATTTTTTTTCGCCAAGTGGTGAGTTCACATAACAAAGTTGGATACCATATATTTTGATGATATTAAGTATTCTAATAATAATAACAAGAGATAGTTTCAGAACTCGGAACAAAAATGCAAATGCCAATATATCATAAAACTGAAACAGTACATCCAAATAACATCTCTTTGAACATAAAAGAACTTCAAATACAGTTGAACCTCAGTATCATGAACATTTACATCTTGTATACCATGGATATATTGAAAAGAGTTGGAAGTCCCAACCATTTATTTTGAAGTACTTACGTTAAACCTTGATATCTGGAGTATCCAGTTATCTCAAAAGTTTTTTTTCTCAGTCCCATATAGTTTGAGATATTATGGTTTGACTGTAAATTGAAAATATTACCTATCATTTTTCTATACACTATGGTTTGGGCAACATGAACTTTAGTCTGCATATTATATAACTTTAAGCTACATTATAAATTATTAAAAATAAAAAGTTAACTTGTTCTGAATAAAAAATTTGTTACAATTTTTATTGTCTTCTTGATGCACATGAAAGTAACATGTATAACAGTTCTGAAAGATT